TGAGTCAAGAAATCAAGTGAGACTGACAAAGTTATAATACTTAAAAGAAAAAAATGAAGTTATAGATTGTCTCTTGAACTAGAATGATTATTGTTCATTCTGTACTAAACCATATTATGAAATCAGCTTTACATTTAAAACAGGAAAGTGTGCTGCTCTTGGAATACATTGTTAGAAATTAGCAACAGGTTAAAGCACAAATGTTCTAAGAGATTTTTTTAAAAAGTGAGGATTATTGGAAATTTTACAACATAGAATTAGCACCATTACCTAAAATCTAAGCAATGATTTAAAGTGAGAATAAATGTGATAATCCAAGTTTCAAATTTAAAAGCAAAACACATATTAAAATACAATATCAACCTACTTGGAAAAATCAAAACACAAGATTTTTATTCATCATATGGCAAACCCACTTTCCAGTTGAGAATCTTTTTATATCAGGAATAGAAGAATTTATATTAGACATTGGATATAAAAATATGGCATGATCTGATGCATACCTGATACATTAATTCATGAGCTTTTCAGTTCTTTTAGCCACTCTTTCATCCATTTAGTTTCCTTCAGAACCAGCAATGAAACCCAGGGGTCTGAACTTTACTTTTAGTACAATAAGGCAGCTGCCAACTAAAACTGGCCCTGATTAACTGCACAGAGGTAAAACCAGACCACACTTGCACTCAGTCTTTCATTTTAAATCATAAAGGCAGCTACTCATTATAGCTTTCCTGCCTAGCAGTTCTCATACAGTAGATGGGTCCATAAGTGTAGACTGTCCTTTTGATTGCCTTCCCTGAAGAGATCCTATTTCACTCAATTCAATATTTATTAAACAACTAATATATGCAAGGCACTGAGCTATGTAAAGATAAATATATATTTATCCCGAGGGAGCTTAAGCTCTACTAGAACTAACATTTAATCCAGTAACTGAAAAGTGAGGTATACAACAGTGAGTGCCCTTAAAGAAGCAAAGAAGTATTGTACCAGAGTACAAAGGAAGAAAAGATTACTTCAGTTTTAGAAGAAAAGTTTCAATGGAAATTCATTTAAGGGGCTTCCCTGGTGGCGCAGTGGTTGAGAGTCCACCTGCCGATGCAGGGGACACGGGTTCGTGCCCCGGTCCGGGAAGATCCCACATGCCGTGGAGCGGCTAGGCCCGTGAGCCATGGCCGCTGAGCCTGCGCGTCCGGAGCCTGTGCTCTGCAATGGGAGAGGCCACAACAGTGAGAGGCCTGCGTACTGCAAAAAAACAAACAAACAAAAACAAAAACAAAAACAAAACTCACTTAAGCCCTGAAACACAGGGAGAATCTGTACAGAGAGAGGACTTTCACTTCCAATGATGGCAAACTAGGTGATTCAGATTAAGCCTCCTGCTGAAAAGAATTAAAAAAAAAAACCTGACTTCTGCTTGAAGGCATCAAGAGATTACAAAAATTACCAAACCAAGATCCCGGAGAGGACAGAAATCTCAAGGTGCAGCCACTCTCTCCCTGGGACATTTACCAATTCCAAAAGCAGCTGTGAGGGCGGACAGCCCTTTGGACAGCTTAATGGAGCTAGAGGAACAAAAAGAGTATAGGGCCAACAATGAGAAGGAAAGGAAGTTTGATAATCCACCCAGTTTAGACTGGCATCCCCAAAAGCTACACACACTAGCAGTATGTGCAAATCAGAACAGAAACAGAACTTAATGGCTGAAAACGAGTTCAAGTGATCCTAGTGTGTTAATGCTCCTATATTCTTCAAGAGGATTTACATCATCCTAGCTCTCACTTATTTTTTCAAATAAATTTTCAAATATATCTGGTATATATTTAACAAACACCCAGCACACACATGAAAAAGAACCAAGAGAAACAATACATAAAAGAAACAGACCCATAGGACCCCTTTTTTCAAGTACATACTTTAACATAACTGTGCTTTCTATATTGAAGGGGATGAAAGACAAAATTAAGAATTTTGGTAGAGGATTAAAAAAAAAGGAAATTGCACATCTGAAAAAGAATCAAGTGAAAAATATAAACCTAAAATAAACAAATATGTGGGCAAATCTAAATGAATATTGACGATATAAAATCAGTAAAACGAAGAGTGGAATAGGAAAGACCCAAACAAGAGGGCATCATCATTCAGGGAATAATGGGGAAGTCTATTTTGGCTGCACTGTTTGTGGGAGGAGCGGGTGGGCGGATACAGAGGAGAAAACCATGCAACTGCAGGCCTTGAATGCCAGACTAGAGTTTCAGCCTTGGGACAATGGAGACAGAAAAGATGGCTGAGCTTTTGGAAGTTTAAACTGGCACAAGGGAAAGATACTAAGAAGAATTTAAGAAAGAAAAAACAGGTAAAACCAGCAAATACTAGGGATGCTATTTTTAAGACTGCAGCTTAACCACTCCATTCTCCCTGCATTATCTGACTATAGGCACTCACCGTCCTTGGCTTCTCTCTAGTTCCACCCCAGTATCCTCTAAGTGGTATCCTTTCTCTGGTACTCCAGAACTATCTTTTTAAAACACAAATGATTGCTAGTCACTTAGTGATTTAAAATGAAAAAATGTTCGTCACTTTCTGGCTTAAAAAGGAAAAAAAAGAAAAAAGAGTCAATGGCTCTCCATTAAATCTAAAACAAAATCCAAATTCCTTCCAATGGTTTCACAACACTCCAAAATCTGGATCCTACCCACCTCTCTAGCCTCAGTGCCCATTAGTTCATCCTCCTTCCCCTCACATCCCCCACACAAACCACCACAATCAACCATCCCTCTGTGCCTCTACACTTGCTTTCATTTCTCAACGCACCTGCCCAGCAACACATTAGTCCCGAATCAATGCCACAATCTTCCTTCAAAACTCCCAAGGCCAGTGAGTTGAACACAACTGAAGAAAATCACAGAATCTTGGCACAATTACAAATACATGCTCTTCACCCTCAGCTGCGTTTTCAGCCTCGCTCTAACACCTGAGTTCTTCTCTACTCAACTGCTGTAGCTCATCAGCTCCCTCTTTGCTCTCAATGATTATTTCAGATTTTACTATTTTTCTCAGTTTCTCCATTCAATCGCTTGGTCCCCCATCTTTCAAGAAATAACCTTGACTCATTCATTACCCAGAAAACAGGTCCTCAGGCAACTACCCGCACCCATCTTAAGTCCCCTCTGCCCACACTCCCCTTCTACTGAAAGGCCAACACCTCCCACTGTGTCCTTATATCCATTTTCCCCTTCCCTTCAGCCTACAAACATGCAAATTTCTCCAAGATGGATAGGGATCCTCCCTTGACTCTAGGGCCCCCTCAAACTGTTAACCAATCCCTTACTTTCCCTTCTATGTTAAGAGCAGTCTATCTCCCCTTCCTCATTTTCCAGTGACCACTAAACCAAGCCATCTGGCTTCTTCGCCTAAAACTACACAACCACACTAGCAAAATCCTAAAACTTTACCCTCTTGATTTTTATGGTCTCACATACTTCCTATTCTGACACTTGCCTATCTTCTTCATGACCTCCTTTTCCCAATTCCCCTTAATATCAATGCTTCCAAGTACCTGCATTTGGCCCACCACTCTTTTGAAGCTATGCTTTCTCTGAATAATTTCATTTTCTCTCCTAGAGTTCATATGCAGAAGACTCCCAAATATTAATTACCAGTACATGCAGCTCTATCAACGTCTGTGCATACTCATATTCACTGCCTCCTGGTCATCTCCATTTGATGTTACACAAGCATAACCAATTCAGCATAACCAAAATTTAAATCATACAGCTGCCTGTGCTCTCTATTTTAAGTGGAAACACCCTTATATCCATCCCAGGAATCATCCCTGATTGGTCCCTCTTGCCCCCACCTTCAATCAATCATCAAGCCCTGATGATTTTATCACCTAAATATATCCCCAGTCTATTCCATCCTCTTACCCCCTGCCCTAGTTCAGGCCTTCTTAATTTATTAACAAGACTATTCCAACAGACTCAACTCCTACCTCCTTATTCCTCTCAACTCCATCCTCCGTACTGCAGCCAAAGTGATTTCTTAAAAAAAAAAATCTGATTCTGTCACTTCCTTAAAATTCTTCAATAAAGTCCCCTTCTAAGATCCAGAGTATTTAAGGCTTTGCATTTTCTGAACCCTACCCTCCTCTCCTGCTCTCTTCTTGTCATTCTTTGCTACATATTTGGTAATCAGGTAATAATGAATAGCTTGTAATTCTAATTTGCTTATGTCTCTCCTTGGCCTGGCTAACTCCTACTCTTCTTTTATGTTACAGTTCAAGTGTCATGCCGTCCTGGAAGCCATCTTAATGGCCAACATCACCCACCCCTCAGGTGGATCATATTTCCCTTCTATATGCTATTTCCCTACCTATCACTGCACTTACCAACATTATTTCATAGTGCTACGTTTATGCATCGGCTCACCCCTTAGCCTAAACAGTAAACTCCTTGAAGACAGAAACTTTGTCATCATTATATCCCCATTGTCCAGAATATTCGATTACAGGTACTCTGAAAATGTTTCTTGAATGAATAAATAAAACAATTTCCCCAACTTTTCCATCATCTAACCCTACCACCCACCATCACCACCACTACGCCAACCCCCACGAAACCTGACCCGCATATTCGACACTTAAAACGCTACCCTGAGTACTTTGTCTGCTGTCTCTATTCTCTAGACGAAGAGCTCCAGGAGGGAGAGGACCGGTCATATTCACCTGCCTGACTCCGGTACCTGGCACATGGGCTGAAGAATGAATGAAAATGCTTAGCAAGGCTGAGAGGCTGTCTCGGACTTCTCTCTCACACCCTCCGCAGAGCTCAGACCAATCCCAGGGGCCGAGGGACTGGGGGGACGCGTGATCTCCCCGACAAGCACAGACCCCCCACTGCCCGCGGGCTCGGACTGCGTGGGTCGCCTCCGCTCGCACACCAATCTCCACCCCGCCGTCCTCTCCAGAAGAAAGAGGTGGAGGTCACTGCGGCGCTTACCGGCAGGCGGAACTCCAGGTGTTCCTGTGCCATGAGCAGAAGATACCTGTTCACGGGTCCCGGCAACGCCATCGCATCAGCCCGCGGCGCGCCTGCGCCACCGAGGGTGTCTCACTCTTTTCTTCCCCTACAGACCGCTTCCGCTAAGGCAGAGCCTGAGGAGCCAGAAGCGGAAGTGGGGAGAGTCGGTTCTCTCCGGAGGTTCCCGGCTTGCGGGATTTGAGCCCCGCAGTTCCGGGAGAGGTTTCTTCTGCTGCCGGGTGCGTTCTGTTTGAGGTCCCGGTGTACCAGGAGCTGGTGTGAGAAGATGTGTTGTGTTCAAGAGCAGGTTGCGATGAGACAGTGTAGTTCCCAATGATCCTCCACCTGGAATGTACTTTTAACTTCCCCTACAACTCTTCAAATTCCAGGTCTTCGAAACTGAACTGAAATTTCTGTCTTTTCCCTGCAGCCTTCTCTAACCACTCCAGGCTTTGGGGACTGACTTAGCTGGACTTAGCTATACTTATTGAAGTATAGTTGATTTACAGTGTTGTGTTAGTTTCTGATGTACAGCAAAGTGATTGAGTTATACACATATATATATATATATATATATTCATTTTCATATTCTTTTCCATTATGGTTTATTACAGGATATTGAATATAGTTCCCTGTGCTATGAAGTAGGACCTTGCTGTTTATCCATTCTATATATACTAGTTTGCATCTGCAGCTTTTTCAAAAAACTGTACTGGAAGGGGCAGAGAGGTTCAAAGTCTGCCTTCTAGACAGATGCAAAGCTCCCCAAGGCAGATCTCGTAGAGACCTGGCCCCTCTTGTGAGATTACTATTGTGTAAGCATTGGAGCCTCTGGTATAGGCTGCTGCTTATTAAAAAACCAGAGGTGTTCCTGGGAAGGACCAGGAATTAGAAAGGAGAATTTGGAGTTCTGGTTAGAACAGGTCACTACAATGTTGAGACTAGTAGGACACAGTCAGTGAAGAAAGAAAATTAGCGAGTTAACAGGTCCCAGTGGCAGAAGTCACGTGTAATGTCAAAGTTGCCCATACATCTGACTAAACATCTATCATTTGAAAAGGGTTTAGGTGTCCCTATGGTTTAGAACCATAGGGATGTGTGAACCAATTAGAGGGAGAAAAGCTCTCTTCATACATAGGAAGACTAGATTTTTGCAATGAGTAAAAAACAAGGGGTTTTTAAACAGTTTGGAGAGTAAAGTTTTATTGTAACAAGTCATATAAGAACTATGGAAACTTCACTATTGTGAAGCATTCCTGAGGGAGTTCTATTTCACAAGATTCCAGAAGGGTCCTCAGCATCTTCAGTCTTCATGAAGATAATTCAGGAAGAAGAGAAGAGAGGAAAAAACACTGGCTGCTCTCAGGAAACAAAACTGAACAAGTTGGGACTCTGAGACACCTGTTCAGACATAAGCAACTGCAGTGGATTTAAATATGATTCAGCTCCTCAGTCCGGAACCTGTGCTCCACAACGAGAGGCCACAACAGTGAGGGGCCCGCGTACTGCAAAAAACAAAACAAAACAAAACAAAAAACTATCACAACATTCATAAATAATGCTTTTGATACTATTTTAAACATGGTTCCGGACGCGCAGGCCCAGCGGCCATGGCCCACGGGCCCAACCGCTCTGCGACATGTGAGATCCTCCCAGTCCGGGGCACGAACCCGGGTCCCCTGCATCGGCAGGCGGACTCCCAACCACTAGCGCCACCAGGGAAGCCCTATTTTAAACATTTTAAAGACAGGTTATGAATTAGCTTTGTACTGAGCTAATGTTATAGATGACTAGAGAGTTACCAAATAATTGAACTACTGAAAAGGCTGAGTAAATTTAAATTGTCATAATTTGATTATTGATCTTTACAAGAGAAGAGCCACTGAAAATGTAAGGTTCCAAGGGTTTTCCAACCTCCTTACTATGAGAGGGTATAATCTCATATAAATTAAATCAAATGGCTAATCACATTTTTAAGAGGTCCATAAGGCATTTGAGAATTCCTTAAATACCTTACATATTGTTATCATAATACTGTCAATTATATCACTGTAAGTTCACTAGTACAACATGTTGCACATGTTGAAAATTCCTTTTCTGAAGCTGATCACAGTAGAACTGATTTATAGAAACATGTAACTGCTAATCTGTGTGGATGCTCAGCCAGCTACTTAGCAAAGCAGTGCTGAAAAACTTGTAAATCTAATTTTGAGAGCCCGTAACCCCTACTTCCAAATTCCTCTCTCCACCTTCAGTGAACAAAATGGAATTTGGATGTTCAGTTGTTAAGTAAATAACAATGGAAGCAGAACCCAAGGAAAGTACATGTTGGTCTCTCAGCCTAAACTTCCACTATCTACCTGCCTAACATTGAGTCTCAAATACTCAGTTCTACTGCCACCTGCTCTCAAAATTGTTTCCCTCTCCACAGCCTCTTCTATGGACATTTTTGTACTTAACATACCAAATTGTACTCACTGGTTTTGTCTGATCTTCGTATTAGCAATTAAAGGCAGACTGTCCTTTCTCACTTCTATATTTCCTGATCCTGGCAATGTCTGGTACATGTTAAATGCTCACCGAATTTATTTTTTTTATTTTTGGCTGCATTGGGTCTCCGTTGTTGCGTGCAGGCTTTCTCTAGTTGCAGAGAGCGGGGGTTACTCTTCATTGTGGTGTGCGGGCTTCTCATTGCGGTGGCTTCTCTTATTGCGTAGCACAGACTCTAGGCGCAGGGGCTTCAGTAGTTGTGGCACGCGGGTTCAGTAGTTATGGCTCCTGGGCTCTAGAACTCAGGCTCAGTAGTTGTGGCGCACGGGCTTAGTTACTCCACGGCATGTGGGATCTTCCTGGACCAGGGCTCGAACCTGTGTCCCCTGCATTGGCAGGTGGATTCTTAACCACTGTGCCACCAGGGAAGCCCACTAAATGTTTTTTGAATGAATTAATGAACAAATGAACTAAACAATATTGATTCCAGAGGTTGTAACTAAGTATTTCATTACTTAAAACTATGTTTAATATCATCCCCCAAAAAAGAAGGTTAAAAAAAAAACCACTACTCTTCTCAGCCTGTTCCTAAGATCAATACTTTAATCCTTATGTTCATTTATATTCATGTATATGGTACCGTTATACACTGGCACAATGTAAGATTAGCTTTCAGTACTTATTTTTCATTCACATTCACTATTGTTAGTAGATTAGCACCAAAAGACAATTCCTAAAGAAATATGTCTCATGAAATGATTTATCAATATATTAATGTTGCTATTAAAATTAATTTTCTCATCCAATATATCTCTACTTTCAAATCAGGACTTTTTCATGATAAAAGACAGGTCTAACCACTTTTTAATTCTAATTTTCCTTTGGTATAATAAATAAGCCATAGAGCAACAGTTTCTGCCAGTTTTAATAGATTAATGTAACCACTTATGTTTCTTCCCAATTTACGTTCTTACAGGTAAAATTCCATTACAATGAATTCTCTTGGATAGCCAAATTGATTGTTATAGCAAACCCACTGTTACAGTGAAATTATTTCATATATATTACATAGCTTCAGGATCAATTTATTACAAAGATGCTAGGATTCAAGAAGTGAAAGCCAGCATCTGAAACCTGAGTAAAAAGTGACACATATACAGTTCTTTCCATCAATAAGATCAGAGATCCCTGTGTAGTACGGTACTGTTTATTTTGAAATTTTGTGTGTAAAATTACAGAACAATCAAGAAATAATTTCTCTTTCTCCTTCATATAATAAAGGCTCCAACAAGTACTTCTTATACCAGTTTATTCTTCATAAATAAATCACTATTATAATTGACTATTGAGAAATTAAAATGTTTGAACTTTAAAAAAAATACAGAGCCCTTCTTGATTAACAGAATTTGTTTTAATGGGATTTTATCTATAGTATCTTATACCTTAGACAAGGAACCACTGAAACAAAGTCAATGACAAAATATTCATATAACTATATCACAGATTTCAGGAAACAAACATTAAGAAACAATTTAAAACTACCCAGTAATAGCTTCACATAAAACCCAGTTGTAATTAGACTTCAAAGAGACCAGAATATTAGTTTATGTTGAGCTAAAATTAGGAAAATCTTCCACTGTTGACATTTTCATGTTCTTAGTTTGTCAATCAAATAATCAGCCTGTAATGGAAAAATAACATATTTTTTTTATTCTAGTTATCATAGCCTACATGAAATAATTCTACAGGCACCCCTATTATAATAAGCCACAGCAGAAGAACTGGATACTACATATTCTGTTCCTAAAAATGTCTTACAAAATACTCTCAACATAACAGTTTTCAAACTACAGTAAAGGTGTTTATTCTATACTATATATAAATATGCAGATTTTTATCCACATTGCCTTTTTGTTAGATAGTTTCAATAAGGAAAATAAATATAATACTAAAGACATGGAAGAACCTGAAATGCATTTAACTAAGTGAAAGAAGCCAATCTGAAAAGGCTACAAACAATATGATTCTAACTACATGATATTCTGGAAAAGGAAAAACCAGAGACATTAAAAAGATCAGTGGTTACCAGGGATTAAGGGGGAGGGAGAAATGAATAGTCAGAGCACAGAGGATTTTCAGGGCAGTTAAACTATTCTGCATGATTCTATAATTGTTGATATATGTCATTATACATTCATCCAAACCCACAGAATGTACAACACCAAGAATGAACCCTAATGTAAACTATGGACTTTGAGTGATAATAACATGTCAACGTAGTTTCATGGATTATAACGAATGTATCACTGTGGTGTGTAGGATGTCGACAGTGGGGAAGACTGCGAGTATGTGGGGACAGAGGGTATACGGGAACTCTGTGTACTTTCCATTCAATTTTGCTGTGAACCTAAAACTGCTCTAAAAAAATAAGGAAAACAAAAAGAATAAAAAGTAAACTAAAGCCTTCTAATTACATCATTTCAGATACTTTTCTCAATCATCATATATCTGAAAAATTATGTAAGATTTCAGAATAAACGGTAACATCTTTATCTTGATTTTTTCAGTCTCATAATATATACTTAAATACCTAGATTTAAG